CCCCAAAACCCCAAAACCCCAAAACCCCAAAACCCCTGAGTAAGTTCTGAAATTGAAAAGATTGAAAGGTCCCAGCAGAAAACTTGGTGAAAAAGATTTTTAGAGTTTGAATTACTGAGATTTTAGGTAGAATTTAAGTGTTTCCAAGCTTTTTGGTGGGTGGTTTAGTGCTGGAGGGTGCCAGAGGAGGTAGAGATTCGATGAAGCTAGTACCGGATGAGCTTGCCTCATCGGTTGAGTAAAGATGATCGCTGTTTTGGCTCATTTTGGAGCTTAGGTTATGTAAAGTCTGATTTTGAGCAGTATAAGGCAGTTTAGAAGTTAATTCTTTAAAAATACTGTTGTCATTTTTCAGAAAGGAATTATTAGCTGGGTCTCTGACTAGGTGGACTCCTGTGATTAAATAGAACACTTTTAAGGTAATTATAACAAGCAGGCTCTGGGCATCATTTATATCTTGCATGATATTTGCTCGATATCTGGTAATTATATCTTTGATAACTGAAGATGTTTCAGTATCACCTTCCTTCATCAATGTTTGAATCAAACTATCAGGCTGAATCAGAGGTGGCGTAGATTTATAACGTTCTTTTCTGAATCTTTTTACTGCTTTTTGGGAGTTTTGATAATTAGAGTAAATTCTGATAATTTCCCTTTCATAAATATCTCCCTCTTCGCTTAATAGGTATCATCAAATTAGGAAAAATATTGGGATAAAAAAGAAAACAAATAGAGTCCTGGAGATATGGGAGCTTGTTTCAGAGACCAGCTTTCGCTCAGTCTCCTCAAGATCTCATTCTATTCTCTGATTGAATGGAATTTCATGTGAGTTGTAGTAATGACCTTTGATGAAAAGAAGCACATGTTCATCATCACAGACAGTTTTCTCCTGAGTTGGCAATTTTGTGTCAATATCAGTTAATTTTTCAATAAAACGGACGGATATATCTTGTTGGAAAATCACATTATTTTGCTTAAGAATCTTCCCAACTTCTTGTGCGATTCTCTCTTGTACTTGTGGGTTATCCAATCCATTATTTTGATGTGAAACAGGAGTGAGGATGGGGCTATTATTGCCTCTTGTCATTTTAATTATGTTTCCATATTGATCATTTGAAACCTTGATGACGAGCTCTTCTTTTCCTTTCTTAAATGACTTTCCTTGCTTTTCATGTTTGATGACCTGAAGATTTCTATTTGTTACCATCCTCACAAAGAGTCTCTAGGGAGCATACTATAACAACCATGCACACTATAACCAACCCCGCTGTGAGTAAAAATCACCCCACCACTCTCTTCACCCTCACATCTCCCCCTCTCATTCTAAACTTCCCCATTTTTATACTAAATATTATACCCATCCCAACCATATCGTACTTTTTCGGGGTTTTGGGGTTTTGGGGTTTTGGGGTTTTGGGG